GGGAGGGCGAGGATCCTGGTGGGCCAGCTGTCTACAGTGGGCAGGGACGTGCGCTCCACGACCATGCAGTGGGCGTGGGGGGGGATGAAGTTGCAGGCCGCGGTGAAGCACTTGTCGTGGATGCCGCCCTGGGTGGAGGCCGAGGACCTCGACGGGCGACCTCCGGTGGGGCAGTGCTTCATGGAGAAGTTCCAGGTGGAGCGAGCGGGGGGTCGGCGGGAGTGGACGCGGGGGTTGGTACCTGATCCTGTGGGGCTGGGGCGCTTCCCGTCTTTGTGGTGGACGCAGAATCCCCACTACCACGCCGCGTTCGACGTGCAGCGCTTCGACGCCAAGGGCATCTCCTTGAGCGAGTTCGACGAGGGCTCCAGGCGCGGGCGCGCGGAGTTCGTTCGGGAGAGCGGGGACCTCGTGGCGCAGCTCGTCGCTGTGCGAGTGGAGCTGCACATGCGCGTCGTCATGCCGGCCGTGGTGCCGCACTCGGACCGTTTCCCGTATATGGCTATGGCTCGCTGGGAGACGGGCGGCGGGGGCAACCTGCATGCCCACGGTTTCAGCGTCGGCCTGCCGTCGCCGCAGGTGGGTCGTGTCATGGCGGACGTGGACGGGGAGGGCGACATGGCGCCGAGTACGTCTGAAGAAGACCTTCGCGCAGTGCTGCGCTGGTTGTGGCGCGAGGGAGGGGCCGCGGAGTGGGAAGCCATGGGGGAGATGTCGTCGGAGGAGGTTCGCGAGGAGCTGGCGGCGGTGCTCGGTCGCGTGTCTGCCTCGGAGGTGGGCCTGGCGGGGGCGGGTGCGCCGGTGGCGAGCGGGGCGGAGTCGGCGAGTGCGGAGAGTGAGGGCTCGGACCAGGAGGGCAGCGGCGAGGGCGCGCGGCTGTCGGCGGCGAGGGTGCAGGACCTCCTGGATGCGCTCGTGCAGGACGGATCCCTGGTGGCGATGGGCGGTGAGGCGGTGCAGGAGGTCGACGCGCGGTACCGGGTGGTCTCTGCGCCGCCGCTCGATGAGGCTGCGTGGGGGGCGCGGGAACGGGGCAGGCGCGGTGTGCGAGATCGGCGTCTCGGACCGGAGGCGCCTCGTGATCTCGGGGTGTTGAAGCCTGAGATGGAGCACGTGGACGTGCAGAGCCGGTTGGAGCAGCAGTTTGCGGACTTCTTTGGGGGGGTCGTGTCGGAGTGGAACCCGTGCTATGATAATTGCGGGCGCTGTCGGTTCAGGTGGGACGAGGAGATCGGGGCGCACGACGTGGAGGTGCTTGGCGAGGACGGCGTGGGGTCTGCGGGGGGGGCGTCTGCCAGGCTTTCGTCCGAGGACATGGCGCGTGTGAGGGTGCGGGGCGCCGCGCCGGAGCGGATGAATCTGCGGGGGCTGCTGGACTCGGTGTTCGCGGTGCGGGGGGCCGAGAAGGTGGACGTTCAGCCTGTGCGGAGGCTCGTCGCGGCCCTGGTGGATCGTGTGGCGCGCCACACCAAGCGCGGCATGGACGCGCCGAAGTTGGGCTTGCACGCGTGCGCGCGCGGGAAGGAGCCCTGCCCGTATTGCCGGTATGGGTTTCCGCGTGACCGGCTGCCTCGCGGCGGCGCCCGGGGGATGGTGATGGAGAAGGGGGACCGGGAGGGCCAGTGGCATCCTCGGTTTCCGCGGAATGATCGCCTGTGCTGTAGCTATGAGGAGCACGTGCTGTTGGCGAACATGGGCAACGTGGACTGGCGGCCGGTGCTGAACCTGTGGGCGGTGACGGAGTACGTGACAAAGTACGCTGCCAAGGCGCCGAAGGGCTCCCGGAGGCTGCGGGAGGTGTTGACGGATGCCGTGGACGAGGTGTGCAAGTACGTGCCGGAGGGGGAGGGGGTGGACCTGCTGAGGCGGTGCATCCAGAAGTTCTTCGCCCGGAGCCTGGGGGAGCGGGACTACCATCTCTTTGAGGCGGTGCCGCTCGGGTTGGGCCTCCCGCAGGTGGTCCCGCTGATGCCGTGGGTGAGCTTGAACACTGCGGGGTCGAGGCCGCTGAAGCCGGCGTCGGCGTTGAAGGAGCTGGGGGACGACGCGGTGGTCCACTACGACAGCAAGGTGGACAAGTTCAACAAGCGGTTGTCCGTGGTGCGGAGACAGAGGCGGGCGGGCGATCTGACGGTGGACGAGATGGAGGTGCGGGACGTGTCTCTCTTCGAGTTCTGGTGGAAGTTTTATGTGGACAGGGGCAGGGTGAGGAGGTCCACCCGGGCGGTGTGCATCATGGTGACCCCGAGCTACAGCGCCGACGTCGCCAACGTGGAGCACGCGCACCACGAGGGCTACGCGCGGGCCGCGGTGGTCGCGCACTGGAGGCACATGACCACGGAGCGCCGTCGCCGGCTCATCCGGGAGCAGACGGGTGTGCGCGTGGTGCCCGACGTGTGCATCGGCGGCACGGTGTTCGAGGAGCCCTTCGTGCAGGCGGGGCCGGCGGCGTTCGAGTCGGACCGCTATCTGGGGGTGGAGGATCTGTGGAGGCGGATGGCGGGCCTGCGCGATGATGCGGCGGGGGAGTTCTGGGGGTTCATGCTCATGGAGATGCTGACGGATCCGATGCTCCGGCAGTGGGTGCCGCAGTGGGTAGTTGAGCAGTACGAGCGCGCGAATCCCTTTTACAGGGAGGTCCTTACGGCGCTCACGGTGGAGCCCCCGGATGGTCTGACCAATCGACGTCTGTTGAGGAGGGTGCGGACGGGCATGGTTCATCGGCATCAGGTGCATTTGCGCAGGAAGGCGGCGGAGGGCCGCGGGGGCGCGGGTGATGGAACGGGGGTGGACGGCGACGGCGGGGAGGAGGCTCGCAGCGAGGGCCAGCGTGCAGATTCGGAGGACGAGTGCGAGCGGTTGGGGGAGGGCGTCGACGACGATCCGAACGCGGAGAAGATATTGATCATCAGGGATCCGCGGCCTGGCGAGGGGGATGGTGGCGCGGGTGGGGCGGAGGGTGAGTGGGCGAGAAGGACTCTGGAGGAGAGCCTCAGCGCGGCGGGGCCGGCCCGTGCGGCGCATGACGTGGACCTGGGCGTGGGCGACGGGGGCGGCGTCGGTGCTGGTGCGGGTCGCTCGCTGTGGAACCCGAAGGGGTACGAGTGGACGAAGGATCCGTGCAACGTGTCCTGCCGGGAGAAGTCGCGCTTGGAGGGCCTCAAGGACCAGTGGTACGGCAAGGGCGACGTGGGTGACGGAGCCGAGGAGGTGGACGCGGGAGAGCTGGACGATTGGCAGCGCTTCGCGTACGACGTCGTCACGGGGGAGAGGCCTGAGGGTGCGGGACCGTTGCGTCTCATGCTGCTCGGTACCGCGGGGACGGGGAAGTCGCGCACGGTCAGGAGCTTCGTGTCGAAGAGGCGCTCCCAGGCGCGAGCGCGCGCCCTCGCTCGGAGGGCGGGTGGGCGGCCGGCCGACGCGGAGGTGGAGGTGCGGGCGAAGAACGCGTGCCTGCTGGCGGCGCCGACGGGCTGTGCCTCGTTCCAGCTGAAGTTCGGGGCGACGACGCTGCATCGTGCGTTCGGGGTGCCCGTGGGGTACTGCGGGCCCTGGAGTGACCGTGCCAGGGGGGGAAGCGGTGCGCGCACCTGAAGCAGCGTCTGCAGCAGGCCGACCTGCTGCTGCTGGACGAGCTCAGCATGATCGGGCGGGGCATGCTCGGCAAGATCGAGTTCAAGGCGCGGGGCACGCTGAAGGGGGAGGAGGGGCGCGCGGTGGGCCGGGAGGGCGCGGCTGCGTTCTTGCTGGGGCGCGACGCGGTGCTGGCGGGGGATATGAAGCAGGCGCCGCCGATCGGGGACGATCCGCTGTATCGCTTCGGCGCGTACCAGGGGTCGGGCCAGAACAAGCCCAGGGGAGCGGCGATGACGCCCTCGGATGCGTGGTCGTCGTTTCGGCTGCACGCGGTAGGGGGGGACGTCCGGGACACGTTCGAGGACGTGGCGTTCCTGCGGCGGGTGTGGCGGTACGCGGACGAGCGGGACGACGTGCCGGCGGAGAGGCGGGAGCTTTATCGGCGGGAGGCGGCGCGGTTCCTGGAGGTGACGCGGGGCATGGCGGAGTGCACGTGGACGGCCGCCGACCACGCGTGGCTGGCGCAGCGGAACCGCAGTCGGCTCCAGCAGACTGCGCAGGGCCGCGCGGAGCTGGCGCGCTTCGAGGACGCCCCGATCCTCATGGACGGCAGGGTGGACAGGGCTACGGGCGAGGTGGGGGCCAACAAGATCAACTTGTTGAAGTTGGAGAAGGTGTCGGCGAGGACGGGGAGGCCCATTGCGCGCCTGCATGCCTTCCACGACACGCCGGAGGGCCTGGAGCACCCGGAGGGGGTGGACGCCGACGACTTCAGAGGGATCCAGAACGAGATCTTCGTGTGCGAGGGGGCGCGGGTGCTGCTCACGGAGAACTTGTGGGTGGAGGCCGGGCTGATGAACGGTGCCATGGGGACGGTGGTGGGGTACATGTGGCCGGAGAACGCGGACCCTCACGACGGCGATCCGGCCCACAAGGCCCGCACGGCCCCGATCTGCGTCTTCGTGCGGTTCGACAGCGTGCAGCTTCGCGATGCCCACGGGCGCCCGCGATCCTTTTTTCCGGGCGACGACGTGCGCGGGGACTGGGTGCCCATATTCCGCAAGACGGTGGCGTCGACGTCGGAGGAGGGCCTGGCACGGTCGAACTTCCCGCTGCAGTTGGCGTGGGCTCTGACGCACTGGAAGGCTCAGGGCATGACGCTGGAGCGGGTGAGGGTGCACTTGTCTGCGAGGACGGCGGGCGCTCCGGGCATCGGGTTCGTGGCCTGCACGCGTGTGCGCCACCCGTGGGATATCGTCTTCGAGGAGGACCTGCCGGAGTACGAGGCGTTCATGCGAGTCCGTCGCACGCGCGCGTTTCGCGAGCGCCGGCGCTTCGAGCTGCGCTGCGAGGCCCGCGCGTCCAGGACGTTGCGGCGGTACGGGTGCTGCCGGGCGGGCGCGTGGGAGCCGGTTGAGCGGGAGGCTGCGGTCGTGCTGATGGAGGGCCTTCGGGTGGTGGGGCAGGAGCGGCGCGCTGGGCTGCGGGGGTTCAGTGCGCGGGGCATGTGCAGGGCGGTGGACGGCGACACGTGGCTTTGGGGGGACGAGTTGCCGGACTATGACGGCCTTCTCGCGAACGTGGTCGAGCGGGAGGCGCGCGGAGATCAGGGTAGGCGACGTCTGCTGCTGTCCGTGGCGGAGAGGCTGGTTGACAGCGCGCGCGTGAGGGAGCTCAGCGGGTCGGAGCGCGTTGACGCGGAGGCTCTCCTTGTGCGCTTGGGTGTTGCGGCGGCGGCCGGCGGCCGCGATGGGGGCTTCGGCCGGATTGGCGGCGTGCTGTGCCAGAATGCCCTTCGCGATGCCGCGCACGCGGTTGCCGCGGGGTGCGATGAGCGGGAGGTTGAGCTGGGCGAGCTGGCGACGAAGATGCTCCGGCGGCAGGACGTGCTGGGCTACTGGGACGGCAGGGTGGAGGACGCCCTGTCGCCGGAGATGCGGCCGTTGCACATGTCCGCGGTGAAGGAGGCTCTGGGGGCATTGATTCCGGCTGCACTTCACGGGAGTCTCGATCGGTTTGTCGCGTCCCAGAAGGACGTTGCGGTGTTGGGGGGGGGGGCGAGCTTCTTGTCCATGGACCGGTACAGGGTAAACGTGCGGTCGGAGGATGCTTTGCGCCGCGGCCGGTTCACGGAGGACGTCCTGGAGTTTTTCCTGAAGGTGTTGCAGCGGATCTGCGGTGTCCTGGCGCTGCCTGTCGCGGTGGCGAGCAAAACGGTTGGTCTGCATGCCGGGCGGGCGGAGTCCGCGGAGCAGTTCAGGAAGATCATGGGCGGCTGGAAGAAGGTTTGGAATCGGGCGGATGTGGCGGGGAAGAAGGAGCTGCTGTTGCCCGTCGCGGTGGACGAGAAGGGGCGCGACTGGTTCTGCGTGTCGGTGAGGTCTGCGTCAGAGGGCGAGGTTTTGGGGCGCGCGGAGCGCCTCGTCGTCCGGGTGTACGATGAGATGCGACGGCAGGGTGCGGCGCGTCGAGTGGCCTTGAACTTGGACGCGTTGGTGCGCGGACCCGCCTCGGCGGTGGCGGGCCAGGCGGGGCCGGAGACGATCATCGAGGAGGGGGTCCCCGAGTGCCAGGTGTCTCACCAGCGCTGCCTCTGCGCGTTCGGGGTCTTGCTCTCTCTGGTGTCCAGGGCTGCCGGGGAGAGAGGATTAGACATGGCGTCGAAGATGTTCGTGCCAGACGCGGGCCAGGTGGTGGCGGCAGTCTTCGCGGGCTTTCGGACGCGTCTCCGCCAGGAAGGTGCGTCGGACGTTTCTGTCTTGTTGGTCGAGGCGGACGCGTGCAGGGCGGTGCTGCGGTCGCTGGGCCACGTGCCGTCGCTGGTGCGCAGGGGCGACGAGGCCGAGGGGGAGGGCGCGGAAGCAGCGTCAGGCAGCGCCCCCGGGGGGCGGAATTTTGCTCTGGAGCGGGGCCGCGGCGACGGGGCGACCGCGGGGGTGCGGCTGCGCGTGGGCACGTGGAACGTTGCCGGCGGGTCTTGGTCGGCGCAGGCTCCTCCCAGGTATGGGTGGAGAGATCAGAGGGCAGCCTTGGTTGCGGAGATCCTGGGGTGGCGGAGGGCCTTCGGCTGCGACGTCGTGGCGCTGCAGGAGTGCGAGGGGGCGGGCGCGATGGGCGAGCTGCTCGACCAGTGCCAGTTCTTGGGCGCCACGCCGGCAGCGGCGACGCGGGGGTACGTCCACTTGTACGTTCGCAGGGGCATGGAGGCGGAGCGGCTGTTGTGTGAGGCTTCCTCGGCTGCTGGCGTGGCTGCGCGCGTCAGGGTGGCGCCGGGCCGAGGCGGTGCCGCGGCGGACGAGGTCTGCGTCTTGGCAGTGCATTTGCCTGCCGGGGACAGGGCGGCGCAGCGCGCTGCCGCGCTGGGAGAGGCGCTGCGGTCGCTGGACGAGAGCGGGGCGGAGCGTGCCAGGGTCTTGGTCGTGGGCGACTGGAACGTGCGGGACGAGGAGGTCGCAGCGCTGTGCGAGGCTGAGGGCATGTGCGATGCCACGTGCGCTGGGAAGACCTGGGGCGTGAGGTGGAACAGGTTTTTCGCAGATCAGCAGTACAGCGGCCCCGGGTTTCGTTTTGACCGCGCGATGTTCGGGGAGAAGTTGTTTGCCCGGGCGCATGTGATGGCGCGGGGGCCTGTCGTGTTCGAAGGCGTGCAGTTTTGCGCGTCCGACCACTTCGGGTTGATGGTGTACGTGGACGTGGCAGACGTCTTTGCGCTGCGAGGCAGGGGGCGCGCGGAGGCAGCCCGGGTGCGGCGCGGGGAGGTGTGTAGGGTCTGTGAGGTCGGCGGGGAGCGAGAGGCGCAGGAGGTCCGGGATCGCCGGCAGGCTGCCAGGGATCAGCAGGGGCTTGACAAGGAGAGGGCCGCGGAGAGGGACCGCGAGGCGTTTGCGAGGGGCCAGCAGAGGGCGGCTCGCGAGAGGGCACGCCGGAGGCAGGCGTTGCACGATGCGGCTTTCGGCAGGGAGTCGCTGTTCGATCAGGACTTCGTCGTCGAGGCGGAGGGGCTGGGCGAGGGTGTTCAGATCTCCGCGCCGTCTGCCATTGTCGTGCCGGGCGCTGAGGAGTGGCAAGACGGTGGATGGGGAGAGGTCGCCGGCGTACCCGTGGTGGGCATGGGGAATTTGGGGAACACGTGCTACGTCAACGGCGTGCTGCAGCTGCTCCTGCGGGTGTCGTCCGTGCACGAGGTCCTTTCGAGACATGGGCGAGACCAGTGCCCCAGGGCGTTGCTTGGAGAGGATTGTGTCGTGTGCTTGTTGCGGGAGACGCTGGGGCAGGTCATGGCGGCGTCGCGCCGCGCAGGGGTGCGGAAGCCGAGGCTCGCGCAGGAGAGGGCGGCGGTGGACGAGCGGTACGGCGATGACCAGCAGTGGGACGCCAGCGAGTTCTTTGGGCATTGGTTCCACAGAGCTCGTCAGGTTCGGAAGTCGGGCGAGGGCTCGGAGACGCGTGGCTGCGAAAACATAATGAGGGAAGTTGTATTTTGCCGGAGGGAAATTTGTTTCACTGATTGTGTACTGCGTTATGTTTATTTTTTTGTGTGTGTGTTTGTTTAGTTGTGTTTTTGCTTTTGTGTCGCTTCTCTCTCGGAGATTGTTTTAGCGGCCACGGGATCGGCGGCCTTTGTTGGGGCTTCGGCAGGTGGAGCTGGATGCCGGTCGGTGCGTGCCGTGGGGCGATGGATGGCTACATGGGCAGGACGGCTTCCAGGTTACGCACTGGGATCGCCTGTTCAGGAGTGTGACAGAAACGCGCTCGCGGTGCCGCTCGTGTGGTCTTTGCCGTGCCAGGTACGGGTCGGCCGAGATGGTGTGCGTGGTCCCGCCCGAGGACAGGAGGGTGTCGTTGACGACCTCCGAGCTGTATCTGCGCGCGTGCGGGCCCGAGGTGCAGGAGGAGGCGGATCGCCTCGAGTGCCCGAGGTGTGAGTCCCGGCAGGTGCACGTGCTGCAATGGCGGGTGCGCGAGCCGCCGACGGTGCTCTTCGTGCGGGTGATCCGCCCCGTGGCGGCGGGGGGCCAGGGCGTATTGCTGCGCCGGCGCGTGGGCGTGGAGGAGGAGATCCAGCTGCCGGGGTTTCCGCGCATGGTGCTGGCGGGGGTGCTTTTTCACAACGGGGCCACGGTGCGTTCTGGGCACTACACGTCCATGTGCCGCGGGCCGGGCGGTATGTTTTGGATGTACGATGACGCGAAGGTTCAGGCGGTGCAGGGCGGGGTGGGGGAGCAGAAGCCGGCGCAGGTGCACCTCATGGTGTATGTAAACCCGCGCGGCGGGGCGGTGTGGGAGGGGCTCGCGCGGGGCGGTGTGGCTCGCGCAGGGGCGGCTCTGGATGGCGGGCGTGCAGGCATGCATGCAGTCGCATGCGGCTTATGAGTGCTGTGTGCGGGCGTGAGCGGCCTGCTCCTTGCCGACGGGCTTGAACGGGTGGGCCGAGTAGGCGCTGCTGGAGGCGCGCGTTGGCATTGCCCCGGGGCGCGCTCGCACGCTGGAGGCGCACGTGGCCTGGTGGGCGGCCATCCTGGCGGCGCAGGGCTTGTGTTCCGGGAGCTCTAAGGCCCGCGCTCGCCGCGCTATGAGAAACAAAGGTGTTGCCTGGTTCTGGGGTTCTTGGAGTTTCTCAGGGGTGAGGGGGGGCGTCTGTGTGTGGCATGTGGAGTTGTCGTGCGAGTGGCAGGTCGCTTTGATGTTCCTCGTCGGTGCTTTCTCGTCGCCGTTTTCCCTACTCGCCCCGTCGTCGCCCGCGCTGCTGATTGCTCGGCGTGTCGCCACCTTGCCTTGGGTTCCCATGTGGTTGAGGCCCCGCAAGGATCGATGGGTAAGTTGCGGGTCTCCGGTTTCCCAACAGGGTGCGATGCCTGAGGGCGCGCGGCGGCCGCGTCGGTCCCGCGTCGGTCGCCGGCATTGGTTGACGGCGCCCCGAAGCAGGCCACGACAGGCTAATGGAGGTCCCGAGAGGGCCCTAGACGGTCCCAAGAGGCCCCGAAAACGCCCAGCTGCCCTCAAGACGGCCGACGAGGACTTCAACACGCTCCAGGACGGGTTCAAGAGGCTCCCCAAGAGAGCCCTGGGAGGCAAGATTCACTAATGTTCCGATGGTTTCTGAAGGATTTATGCGTTCTTGCTCCCCCCGCTTCTCAGCGCTCCCTCTCGGCCTCGTTCGGAGGCCCTTCAGATCGCTCCAAGACGGGCCACGAGGCCCCGAAGAGGGCCCCAAGACGGCCCGGGAGGCTCCCCAGACAACCCAACTGTGCCCCAAGAGCTTCCCAAGAGAGGGCCCAGAGGGGGACCGCCAACCGATATTTCGAGGTCTCTGGCCCTAGAGGCCGCCTGGAGGCCCCCAGAGGCCACCGAGAGGGCCACGGTAGCCAGTTCGCGGGGGCGTTGTTCGTGGCTCTCTGTGTCGCTTCTTCTTCCTCTTATTCTTCGTTTGCGTCATCATGGCACGTTCGCGCGCCCCGCAGCATTTGGGTTCGACGCGCCCGGTCTGTTGCCGAGCGCGCGCGGGGACGAGGCGAGGCAGATCTGGTCTTGGGGATCGAATGCAATCCAGCCCAGGGCGTGCGGGAGAGGTCGGGGTCGTCGTCGCTGTCGTCGTACGTGGCCGCTGCGCGGTTGTTGCGTCGTGTCCGTTAGAGTTTCGCGGTTCGGTCCTTTGCAGGGTCATGGCGCCCAAGAGGAAGCCCGAGCAGGTGCGGCCGGTTGGGCTCGAGAGGCTGGACGCCAGCATGCGGAACGCGTGCGTCGACGTGCAGGTGTTGGGCGTGGCGTGCTCAGCGGTTCGGGATCGCCTCTGGGCGGCGGGATGGGATGGGGTCGGGAAGGGGAGGGGGGGGTGGTAGGGTGGGGCGGTAGCTCCATGTGGCGGCGCGCGATTGTTTCCTCCGATCCTGGGCGGGGGCAGGTTAGGTATCCAGCGGAGCGGCCGTCGGCTGGTCGTCAGTGGACCTCTGGCCTTTGCTGCGTGCGGGCGCTTGCACGGTCCGGTCACTGAGGCGGTGGAGACCTTTACGTTCATCGACAAGGAAGATGGGGAGACGGAGCGCGTGTACGGGGTCGCTGCCGGATTTGCCCTTGGCAGGGTGGTGTCGATGACGTTCTTCGGCGAGGCGGTGGACGAGATGCTTTCGGCGTGCGTGGACGTGCCCGTGGCGCTGCGGCTGCGTGGGGGCATGGTGGGGATACGTCGGTGCCCTGGCGGCTTGTTCTTTGCTTCGTTCGCTTCGGCCTGTCTCTATCGCCGCGTTGTGGTGGTCGTGATGTGGTGGTCGCGATCTGTGTGTGTGGCTCTGCTTGGATCGGTGTTGCGGTCGGATCATCTTGCTCGTTTCGGGGGGGATCGTTTGGGGAGGGGCGCGGGCGATGTTTCTTTCGTTCACGCGAGTTCCCATTATGAGGGGCACCCGCGTGCGCGCGGGGGACGTTGCCCGCGCGATCGGGGCGGGGTTCGCTGGAGGTCACGAGACGTCCCTGTCGACGATCATGTACGACATGACGTTCGACAGGAAGTTCGGTGTGCAGAAGTTGGCGGCTGGCGCCATCGGGCTTGGGGACGTGCCCGCGTGCGTGGCGACCTCGGGCGGGCGCCCGGGGCACGTGGCGGGCGTGGTGAGCAAGGTCGGTGAGATCAAGCACGTCCACCGCAGCATTGTGACGAAGGACCGGGGCGGTGGGGACCGGAGCGTCGAGGTGATGGAGGTGGAGGTTGCGGTCGAGTCTCCGACGGCATGCGTCCTTGCTGTGAACGTGTGGGGCAAGGGCGCGCGCGTGCTGCGCGGCGGTGTCTTGGGGCGGGTGCCGCCGTATCCGGTGATGGTGCACGGCTTGTCTTTGCGGCCGGCGGGGGAGGGGAAGCTGAGGGCGACGCTGAGGGGCGGCGGGGCCATTCGGGCCATGGAGGCTCCGGAGATGGTGCGCTGGTACGAGGGGGTGAAGGAGTCCCTGGAGTTGGCGACTCGGGTTTATCGGGCGCCGTCCTTGGCCGATGCCGTGGCCGTGACTGGCGTTGGGTTTCGCAGCTTGCACGAGGCCATCGAGGGCGGCAATGCGGAGGAGGTGCACCACGTGAAGGTGGCGGCGTCGTTGGTGGACGTTTACCGCAAGAGAGCGCCTTTCTACGAAGCGTGTTTGGAGAAGACGGTGGAGGGGCGGACGTGCCGCAGCAAGACGGCGGCGGGCTTCTGCTGGCGGTGCGACAAGGAGGTGGCGAATACGGAGCCGTTCATGTTCGCGCGTGTGCGGTTGCTCTTTGAAGATGGGGCGATGGCATGGGTGACCGTCTTGGGGGCTTCGGGGGAGCAGCTCCTCGGCGTTTCGGCGCAGCACGTGGCGGAGTTGGAGAGCGTGTCCGTCAGCGGTGGTGATGCGGCGCGGAAGAACCTGGACGGCGTCGTGAGGGGGGCGAGGGAGGTCAAGTGGACGGTTGGGGTGAAGTTGGAGGGGTACGAGACGGATGATGGGGTGGTGGCGAGTGCGACCGTCTTCGAGGTGAAGACGGTGCTCAAGCGTTCGGCGGCGGATGCGCTGGGAGGTGCCGGCGTGAGCACGGGGGCGGCGCCAGGGGCCGATGGCCAGGCGGTGTCTCCGAGCGCGGCGTCGGCCTCGGGGGGTCGCGGCGATCTATTCGGGTTCGGCGGCGCCGAGGACGGCGGCGGGTTCGGGTTCGGAGGCGGCCCCCCTGGCGCGGCGGCGGGGTCTGGCGCGGCGGCAGCCTCGGCGGCTGGTGGCGATGGGGCGCCGCAGCAGGAGGATGACGCGGAGGAGTGAGCGGATGGAGCCGCGGGGCCGCAGTTTTGATCCATTCGACCGCCCTGGCGAGACGGCGGGGCCGGGGAGGGCGGCAACCTCGGCGGCTGGTGACGATGAGGTGGCGCAGGAGAAGGATTGGGCCGCGGGGCCGCCGTCGGGCCGCAGTTTTCAGTTTCTTGAGGAGGATGAGGTCGGGGGGGCGGTCTGGGTAGAGTGGTTTTTCGGGGCTAACTTAGGTTTGTTCGGGTTCAGATTGTCTTGGGGCCTTCTGGGGATGTTCGGTGGGCTGTGTTGGGTGCTTCTTCGGTTGTCTCTGAGCAGTTTTGGAGGCATCTTGGAATGTCTTGGAGCGCTGGTTAGCCGACAGCGCGAGAACCATGAATAGCTACAACAGCCAATGGAACAGTTATCGGAGGTGAGGGGGGGAGATCGAAGTGGAACGGAGAGCCCCCCTGCCGGGAATTGGATATCGGTTTCGTGTTCGTGCGTGGCGTGCGGGCGAGGCGAAGCTGCGTGGGCGGGCGATAGAAAGTCTCCTGTGGCTGAGGCGCGGCCGGAGCAAAAGAACCTTGACTGGGCGGCCGGTGCCCCGCGCGGTTTCCCGCCGGTGTCCCGCTGGCGTCCCGTGTGGCTGAGGCGCGGCCGGAGGGAAAAAACCTTGACAGGGCAGCCGGTGCCGCGCGGTGTCCCGCCGGTGTCCCGCCGGTGTTCCGTCGGTTCGCTTCTGCCCCGGCGTTGGGTTAGGTTGGGCTAGGGCATAGGGGGCTGACGGCGGAGCGGGAGGAACCGCGCGCGCTCGGCGCTTCCACAGAGAGAGCGCGCGCAGGCCGCGGCCCCCCCCCCCCGCGGAACGTGCGCTTTGCGAACGCGGCGAAAGCGCGTGTTATTCTGCTTTCTGCTTGTTTCGGCGGCAGGCGGCCATGGGCCTGCCTCGTGCCGCCCCAGGACGACACCCGCCGGGCGAGGCCGCCGGCGCAGTTGGCGAGGCCGGACCGGCGGACGCGATGCAGCAGCGCGTGGCCCGGGCAGGCTGGGGCACCGCGCGCCAACACCCGCTGGGCCCGCGCCCGGCACCCGGGGCCCACCCCCTCTACAAACGCGGGCGGCCAACCGGCCCGCCGGCTGGGAGCCCCGCCCGGCCCGCCCCCGCCCTGGGTCCGCCTCCCGTGCACGCTGCGCCGCCGCCAACCCAGGGCGCCCTCCCGGCCGCCGCCCACGCTGCACCCCCGCCTGGCTTGGTCCCCCACCAGCCAGCCCGCCCCGACACTGGGACCGCCCGGCGCAAACGCCGCCCCGCCTCCTCGGCCGCACCCAGAAGGCGCCCTCGGCCGGCGCCCAACCAGGGGCGGGGCCCGGGACATCCGCGGCGAGTGGGCTCCTGTCTGAGGCCGCTCGTCCTCCGCTTCACCGACAAACGCAAGCACCTGCTGCAGCGAGTCCTGCCGCGCTGGGACCGGGTCCTGCGCACCGTCGGAGGGAGCACCTGGAAGCTCTCTGAGCGCCTCGGCCCCGACCTCGGGCCGCGCCACCAGGAGCGCGTCTTGCGGCGCTGGTCGGCCCGCACGCTCCTCATCCACGTGGCGAACATCGAAAAGTTCCTCGACTGGGCCTCAGAGGAGCGCCCCGGGGTCGACCACGGCAGCTTCC